ATGGTACGCGTGGGCACGCCGACCAGCCAAATGCATGGGACCGAATGGGTGTCGTGACCCTCGGCCATGGACACGCCTGTCTCCGTGACAGCGACCACGAAGCGTAGCCTCGGTGCAAAAGTTGTGATGACGCAGGGCAAGTGCGGCGTTGCTCAAGCGTTGCTGGGCTTGATGGACTCGGCGGCGCGAGCCCGATGCAATCGAGCTGTTCATGATGCAGTGCTCCACGCTGGCGAGCGAATAGGTTGCAAAGCCGGTGCTAAGGCAGCGAGGAACCACGACGGCTCGCGAGCCCAACAGGCGCGTTTGCGACCACTCTCGCGGGCGTCGTCGTGATGCGGTGCAGAACGCGTGACCTTCGTGAGCCGTACGCGGTGCATCGTGACGAGAACTGGCCCGAGCGCCTTGGATGACTTCGAGCCCATAGATACTCCGGAAGATGGACACCCTACAAAATACCTTCATGCCAACCACCATTGCGTAGAGGTGGGACGCGGGGCCGCTTCCCGCCGCGTGCGCTGGCGGCAGAAAGCGACCCGAGCACCTCTTCGTCGCTTGCTTGGACATCCAGTTCTTGAATGACTTTGAACACGAGCGAGCGCCATCTGCTGCGACCCATCGAATTGCATCTGGTCCAGGTAGACGCCTTTCAGCCGCCAATTGAAGGCAATCGTTGGAATGATATGCGTCGTCTCGGCATCGGACTGCGGCCAAGCAGGATCTAGCTCGGTTTTAGCAAATGGAGGACAGTCAAAGGAGTGTGCATCATGCTCAACGCGCGGTCATGGAGGCGATACTACCCGAAGCGATTCGTCGTCACCAAGCCGGAGACGACGCATCCTACTGGGCACCTCGTTGCGATGCGCGGGGAGCTGCTCGGGACCGTGCGCTGGGTGGTGCAGCTGGTGTCAGAGTAGCCATCGGAAGCTTCACGGCGCCACCCACCAACAATGTGGCGTGCCGATCTCGCTCGTCGGCAGTGTCTAGAGATTCGTACGAGCCGATTCCTTCTCCTCGACACGTGCTATGCTACTATGACAAACTGACGACACGCGCAGCTTCAACGAACAACGACCATGTCGGCGACCATTTGGGCGTGCACAAGCGCGCTGACGTTGGTGTCATGGCACGTTTAGCGCTTGTTTCTAGTGTTTTCTGCTTTCTAACGCAACCTCCTTAAGCGTGCGCTTAAAAAACGCGAGCGTCTTTCAACAATGCACGCAGTAGCCATCGTCGTCTCTCCAACGCGGCGAAATGGACGCAACGCTCCTCCATTCTCAGACGCTGGAAAAGGAGGCGTTGCAACCACTGTCGTCAGAAATATGGCTTGCACCTCTGGCCCAGTCTCTCTGGCCCTTTTGCGGTGAAGTCGTTGTGTGGTGTGGCACGGATCTCGAGTTGGATCGTTCGAGTAGTTGGATGTCGAGGGTCGCGACCGCGATGACGCGACTACGAGGTCTCTTGTGATGGCACTCGATGGCAAGGCGTGGCGCAGCTTCGACTGGTGGACTGAGGCCGCCCTCGCCAAAGCCCACGGCCTGGTGGCTCTGCACGTTGATTGTCGCCGTTATTATAATAGCTTGGCCTCTTCCTGCGCGAGCGCAATGGACACGGACGGTCTACTTGTACTTTAACGCGTCTAATCAAGTCCATGGCATCTGACTGCGACCCGAGCCAGACGTAGCTCGATACGGCGGCTTGTACTGGATGACATGGCAAACCCAAAGCTTCTGTTGTGTAGGATCGTCGAGAAAATGCAAAGATGGAGCTTGACGCCACTGCCTCCACCGCAACCGTGGACTAGTGAGCGAATGGCATTTGGCGATCACGCACGCAGTGCTCATAGACTTGGTTGCGAATGTCCATCCAGGTTTTGCACTCAAGATATGGTGGCTTTGCACATGCAGCGCAGGTGTAAACCATCTTCCTTCCGGCACGTGGCGGCCTTAGTCTTAAATTTGCTGCGAGAGCGCCACGCGAGGCGTAAAACATAGACGATGATAAAAACATGTATTGCATTACTTCATTACGCAAGCCAACTAGCCGAATTGGTGAAAGCAAGCATTCAGGCGTCGTTGGGGCCGGGCGCCGCGGGCTCGTTGGCGATGTGCGTCGCTTGGACGTCCAGTGGCCGCGCCCACATGACTGTGCCGTCGTCACGGGCGTGCTGCACGACGCCGTCATAGTTGCCTTCGGGGTCTCCCTTTCGCACGAATTCGACAAACGTACGACTGAGCTCGTCCTTGTTGAACTGCAAGTCCTTCACTGCCGCCTTGAGGCCATTCAGCGCAGTCTCGAGGATGGGAACTAGGACACCAAGTCCTGGCACCACGTTCGCCACCGTTTTCGCCGCCTTCATGAACTTGACGCCGCACTCGCACGGGCCCAGAAGGCTGCAGATGAATTTGAGGCGCTCGCTAGACGGTGGCGTGATCGGCATCGGGTAAGTCTTGGATGCTTTGTCAAGGACAGGCAAACCCGTTCGCTCGTCGACAATGTAGAGAAACCCGCCGCATTCGCCGGCCAGGAACTTCTCCGACGACTCCTGAAGCACGGGATTGTTGGGGTCGATGCGGTGCTCGGTAAATATGAACGACGTCGGCATCTCAAGGCGCTTGGACTATAAAATGTACATGAGACATTGATGAGCTCAAAGTGGACGCACCTCGAGAATCGTTTTCGCTGTCGCACGACGCGCGGCCTCGAGCTCCTGGGAAACGCCGTCCAGGCGCTCGAGTATAGCGGTGCGCGACTCGATGTTGGCGGCGCGCGACGCGACGTCGGCGGCTTGTAATTGGTCGCTCAAGTCGGCCAAACTATGGCGGATCGCAGCAATGTCGACCTTGGCCTCGTTATCGGCCAACGAAGCCTTCATGTCGGCCAAAAAGGTTCTGAGAATGTCCGTGGCAGCGTCTTGCTGCACGTCATTGTTGCTGTTGGGGCGCTCGTCGAGCGCGACGCGCTCGATATGCTCCTCAATGCCGCCGCCGTCGACCCGGCGACGAATCGCTTGGACTTCCTTGTTCATGCGATTGAATCGAGCCTGGACTTCCTTGTCCATGCGATTGATTCGAGCGTCGATGCAGGCCAGGATCTTCTTTTCGGACGCCATCATGGCCGTCTGCAGAGTGTCCAGAGTCGCTGGCGCCGGAAGCGCTGGTGCGGGAGTCGGCGGTACCGAGGCACGCACGCTCATCGGCACAGGACTGCGCGCCGACAGCGGCATGTTGATTTCTTGTGAAGACTCACTCGACCCCGTACTCTGCGAGAGCGGCAAGGGGCCGGGCAGATCGTCGTCGAGGTAGCTTGGCACGGCCTCCCGATGAGGCGGCGGCATCGACTGAGGCGTGCGTGTCGTGGCTCTGATTGGCGTCCGCGGCGGCAGTGACTGAGGCGTCGCGGCTCTCATCGGCGTTGGCGGGGTCGAGTTGACTTGATGCGCGTGCGTCGCCCCTGCCATCGGCGCGACCGCAGGGCCGGGCGATTCAAAAGACTGCGGCATCGGTGCAGCCGACTTGATGGGCGCGTCCAAGTCCATGATGAGCGTCTTCTGGGGCGTTCGAAGGGCTCTCTTGGGCTTCGAGTCGTCCTTCGACGCGACGAAGGGCTTGGAGGACGCGGCCGCGGCCGTGGAGCGCGCCGCTGGGGCCGTGGAGGCTTCGGATGACGCAGAGTTCATGCCCTTCAGGCGCTTGTTCTTGTTAATCTCCCGCACCCTACATGAAGAGAAGATGTTGTCAGTAGTGCGACCAAGAGAGCCGGCCATACTGTTGGGCAAGTGCTTCACTATCGTCTTTGATCGAGCGACGGACGGTGTCCAGGGCCTCAATGGCTTCGGCTTGCCCAAGAGTCTTCAAGTGGGCCTCCAACGTTCGCCATGCAGCCGACTGTCGGGCACTGAGCTTGTCTCCGCGCACAACCCAGGTGCCGTCATGTGAAGAGCCAAGGATGCCGACCTAGCCGTTATAACGCAATAACGTTACGTTACTAACCTGTTACTAACCCTGTTATGTTAATGCCTCGAAATCCTATAACGTAACAGGCCATGACGCTTAGCAGGCACGCAGCGTACCCAGCCCATACGTGCTTCCTGGAACACTCTCTGCACACTAAGCACATCAACACCGCAATCATATATGCGCATATGTGTTATAAATCGCCTAGTACAAAGCCGACCCACGACATGGGGATGTTGGCATCGACCGTGACATCGAGGAGCAGGCGGTGGAAGGTCTCGACTTCATGCCGAGAGAGATCGCGGTCAAAGTAAGGCGAAATCTTGGAGTCGACTAGCGGACGGGTTTTGATGGGCGCCGCTGCAACATGCTCGACGTGTGGGCGAATCGAGGTACGAGGCTGTTCGTGCTCTTCTCGCGCGGTCTGCTCGGCGTCCGCGCGCTCTTCTTGTCGTACACGTTGTCGATCGAGCTGGGCAGCGATGTGACGGCACTCCTCGACGTGCTTGGCCATCTTCGCCGGCCGGGATTCAAGCGTTTCGGGCTCCGACACGGCGCCGTACCCATCCAAGCCCATGTTCTGGTAGGCTTCAATACATGCCTTGCACCGGATCTTCCACCACTGGTGGTTGCGCGGCAAATCGTGCTGCTTCTCGAAGTACCGCCAGTTATCGTGCCTCCGCTTGGTCATGGCGCATGCACCACCAGAACTTGGTACTGTAAAACACAGGTGACAACTTGTCACGCCACCAACACATTTGAAAATTGTATTGGCCTCCGCCATGACAAAAAATAATTACACCAGCATGCAAACAACAAGTATAGGAGAGAGAGACCAATCAGGTAAGAGGCAAAATGGAAACTAGAACTAGCTGACTGTTGGAGCCCTGGCCACAGGCTCCTGTACAGTCCCATCCCAACGGTCTTCCCGTAGGACGATCTACTGATAGATTGATACAAACACATAGCCTTGTCTCAACCTAGTGGTTCGAGAGCTGTGTGGATATGAATATCCAGTGCTCAACCACTGTTTGAGGCATCTACTGCCACAAACCCCTCTCCCAAAGGATTTACAGGACAGCTTAGCCCAAATCCCAAAGAATCAAAGACCGCAAAAACAGACCCCGGAGAATCGCCGTCAGATTCTGTTTTTGATCTGGTCTAAGATCTTCAAGAGTCACCATCGCACGGCCCGGAGGATCGCCGGGATCACGTACTAGGTTGCTTCTCTTGGTAGTCCGCACGTCACGACCATCGTCGTGTCGACGCTGCAGACCGTTCTTCTAGTTGCTTGAGCTCTTCATCCCGCGCTCGGGGGTCTGCGACTTGCTCCGCAAACTGTCGAGCAACCGCAGGGGCATCCGTCGCGATCGACGAGAACAGCTCCCACGATGCTTCGATGTCTTCCAGGCCTTCCCATAGGCAGAGGATCTCCCACGCTCGGGCACTTTGGTTGAGCCGTACTGCCTTGATCTCACGGATCTTCAAAAGCACGCCCTGCTCGGACACATGCTCGCGGATCTCTTGCGTGAGCTCAAAGCTGCCTTCGGCGTACGGCTTGAGGCGGCTCGTATGTGCATGGCGCTCTTTACCCGAGAGGAAATGACGGATGACGCACGAGTACGGCGTCACTTCCGTAATCTGGAACGGGCCGAGCCAAGTGACGAGCCGAGCAGCTTCGGATACTTCATCTTGTCCACTCGCGACCAGAGTACGTAGTCACCAACGTTGGCGACAAACTCTTCTTGGTGCGTCTTCGCCGCGGTTTCCCGCACTAGGCGTTGTTGGAAGGAGCTGGCCGAGACCAGAGGCTCGGAGGCGACTCAACTTGGTCTTCTTCTTGTCACCGCCCCCGTTGCCTTCGTTGCCGCCTTGTTTGCTGCCGTCGCCGCCTCCGCCACGACGACCGCTCTTCCAATCCTTCTTGACGGCAATCGCCTTCTGCTTGGCGTTCGAACTCGGGCAGTCCCGCAATTTGTGCTTCTTGCTGCCGCAGTGCCAGCACGGTCGTTCCATCGTTCTTGCGTTCTTGTTGCACTGGAGGCTTGTTGTCCTTCTGCTTGAACTTGCGCTTCTTCTTCCCGCGCGCACCTTGCTGCTCCTCGTGCGACGGTTTCTCGTCTTCGTCGGACGACTCCTTGTCACGAGGACGCTTCGTCTTGGGGCTCCACGACTTGTAAAAAAATGCCCGCTTGAGGATGATCTTCTCAAGGTGCTGAAGGCCAGCTTGCTTGTTGACAGCCAGCTTCTCTCGGAGCAGCTGCATCACGTCCGTCTGAAGCTCTTGAGGACGGAGCTGTTGAATGAGCGCCTTGAAGATATTGGCCTTGAGAGCATCTCCAACGCGCCACCGCTATAGCTATAGCTAAACGCGTTATAACCGACCTTTCTCATATTATAGCGGTGTGCTAAACGATGTGCTCCAATGGGAGTTGCATCGATAGCTATCGCTATCGCTACGGATTGGCTGACAGCGCACCAGTCCACTTAGCGGGAGTGAAAAACGCAGCGCACGGAAGAGAACGCTCGGCGCATGATCGAGAGAAGCGGAGGCCGCTCGGAGGAGCGTGGCGGAAAGAGTGAGGACTGGAAGAGCAGGCAGGAGAAGCGCGGGCGCCGGGAGGGGCAAGGAGTGCTGGCGCTGCCGATGAACTACGACCTCCACCTACGTATACATGTATGCGCAGCGCTGGGCCTAGAGTGTCGGCATGCAGCGTCCAATCTACGCGCGACCACGGCGGATTGAGGCTTCGATGTTGAGTATCGACGACCGACGAAGGGACCTTGAGGAATTTGACGCCAAACGTGCAAGGGCCCAGAATGCTGCTGATGAAGTTGAGATGGTCCCGCGAGATCGCGAGCGGGTACAAGTGGTGGCCTACCAGTGAGGACGTCGCTCTCAAGGTATTCGCGGACGTCCTCGTGGTCATCCAGCTTTCTGGCTCGGACGATGACGCCGATCTGGAGTTCACCAAGCGATCTTTGTGGGGACGACGCTGCTCTGTGAAACTTCCATCTCACGTAGCGGGGGAAATGACTTCGCGTCCGAGCTCCAGGCCGATCAAAGCCAAGGCTTGTTGGAGAATGTCGACTTCGTGCAGCTCTATCGACTCTGCAGCGTGTGACAACGCCAACTTCACGGCGACGAGGCCGCTCTGTCAACGCAGCGCCGTATATGATTATAAGCCTAACTGACAGCTCGACTAGCGCCGCCACCGTTGCGTGATCCGCCTCATATCCACAGACAAGTGAGTGGGTTTTGGGTCGATACATACATTGGTTTTCGTTGACAGTTTACTGGGGCACGAGAG